AAGAGAAACTGAGCGAAAAAAGGAAGGCTGGAGGGGTTGGGAGGCCTGGGCGGTCCCAGCTCCAGGCAGAGCCTTGGTTCTCTGCCACAATCCCGATGGTAGACAGCTTGGTCTCACTAGGGACAGTGTGGACACCCAGCAATGCCACGCCTGGGCAATGTCCCCTTGAGAAATGGCTGCAGGAGTGTCAGGGACGGCACAGAATCACAGGCCCTGGAGGCTGCCTGATGTTAGCAGGGGGTGGACAAGTGAGCTGTGGGGTGGTCCTTCAGGGACCCTCTTCAGCTGGGAGATGGCAGACGTCAACGGTAAATCCCACAGTCGTGCCGCCCAGAAGTCAGGCTGCTCCGTCCCTCCCACAAGCCTTTGCTCCAATGCCACCTTTCTTACCCACCATGCCTCCCCATTTACAGTCCCAACCATCTCCCTGCAGCCTCCCCGTCTCCTGGTTTATTTCTCTCCATAACACTCAGCACTTTCTAACACACTCTGTCATTTACTTCTCTGCTGCTGCTTTCCTCCGCTGGGACGGAGCTTCCATGTGGATAAGGGGTTTGGTCTCTTATTCACAGCAGGGTCACCAGAACCTCCCCCACAGTATGTGCTCAAAAGTGCTTGCTGAGTGAATAAGCAGATGTTTACCTCTGGGTGGCAGGGGGTGGAGATGGGCAGGGTTCAAAGGAATGGGTGCTGTTCTATGGTTTTAGCTGGGTGACGGGCACGAGTGCTGTTATTGCTATTAGCATTATTATTAGTTAGACATACAGATATGATACACCAACAAGATTTTTTGGGGGAAGTAAAGTACCCAATTCTAGGGTTCATATGGAAAAATAAGCAAACAAGAATAGCAGGAAAACTCTGAAAAAGAGCCACGAAAGGAGTCTGCCCTACAGAGAGCAAAACACACTGTGTGGCCTCAGTAACTTAAACTGCGTGGAGCTGCTAAGTGACAGGCGGCCAGGCCCATAGAAAGGGGTCCCGAGATAGATACAATCGAGACGGGCAGTCAGGGTATGACGTCCATGAGGGCAAAGACAGACTTAAAAGCTGATGTTAGGCACCTGAGGAGCCGTGTGGAAAAAGATGAAGGCAGATCCAAACCTCACCTGCACACTAGATAAAAACCCAATGTAGCAAATATTTAAATGCAGACACTCAACCTCAAGCAGTATTAGAATCAAACATGAGCTTTAAGATTCAACATGCAAGGGGCCGGCCGAGTGACTCAGTTGGTTAAGAGCTCGCTCAAGAGTGCGAGCTCTGAGCAACAGCGGTTTGAGTCCTGGCCCAAGCTGAGCTGCCGCTGAGCTGCCAACAGGTAGCAGGATGGCTCCGCTAAAAAAAAAAAGATTCAACATGCAGAAGCCATAAAAAAGACATATTAAATTCTGCATTGCAAGAAAAAACAACAACAAAAAAACACTAAGCAAAGCCAAAAGATAAATGACAACCTGGGAAAAAGTATTTGTAATTCAATCTCCCCAATATATGAAGAGTTCCTAAAAATTGAGAAAAGACCAGCAGCCCAACAGGAAGATGGGAAGAGGACAGGAACATACAGTTGTCAGAAAAAAAAAAACACAAGAGCTATTCATCCTTACCATGAAAACAAATTAAAACCACATTGAGATATAACTTCTCACCTATCAAATGGGAAAAATCCCAACCGTGTGACAGCCGGGGACATAGGACTGTCATCTATCGCAGGCCGGGCTGCTAAGGGACAGCCCTGGAGGGCGCCTCGCAATGCCTTTGCTCTCGCCAGGCACGAGTGAGACCTCAGGATGGCTTTCAGCTGTGTGTGTGCCCACGCTCTGTGGGCCGTTACGCCTGCGAAGCCAGGGGCTCCATTGCACAGCGCAGCCCTGCTCGTAGCAGCAGACTGGAAACGCCCTGTGTCTCCCTGTAGGGAACTGGCTAAATTAGCTTCCATGTCACATGGGGGACATTTTGCATCCGTGAAAAGGATGTGGCCCCATCTCATGGTGAGGAGCAAGGAGCCTGCAGAACCGGCTGCACAGTGGGACCTGCTGTGGAAATGAGGGCGGATATTTGCACATGTTTGTACTGACCTAAGAAAACTCTGGAAGGATGGGAACCAACTTAAAAATCGGGTGAGCTGAGGAAGATGAGTGGGAATAAGGTGAGACCCGGCAAGACGGGCATGTATTTTTATCGCGATTTTTAAATCATGTGATCTAGGACCTGTTCAGAAAATAATATCAGATTAAGAAATAAAAACAAAATGACAGCAAGGCTAACACCTTTGCTCAGCCCTTAGGACATGCCATCAACCCCTCAGGTGGAGGGACATATTGGGCAGGGGTCCACTGGGAGAGGGGCTTTGGGGCTCCCCCTGGAAGACTGTTATTTGAATACAAAGTGTCTTTCCGAGAAAGAAACAATTATGGAAACATGAAGAAGAGCTATTTTCCATAATTATTAAGTTCCCCCTCTAATTAGAGATGATGGAACTTTTAGATGATACATTTAGATGATTAATTGTTGACAGAGGTTCTTGGTCAGGCATGTGTGACTCAAAATACCATGTAACTGGAAGGTTTTCTGGTCACTGTGCTACTAGATCATGTCTGCCTAATAAAACCACGGCCGAGGCCTCTGGGCCACCCTCGGCTATGGCCATGACCTCCCTGCACAGATGACCGGCCCCCGCTGTCTATGCAGGACCTGGGTGACGCCTGGGCCCCCACCTGGGCTCCCCACCCTCCTTCCTCTGGGCCTGGACTCCAGCTGCTCAGAGGATGTGAAAAAGCTTACAACAGGGTTATCTGGGGGAGGGGGGTGAGCCCCATAGTCTCTGGGGACCCCCACAGTGCTGTGTCTCTGCGCTGCGGCCTTGGCTCCCCCTCCCCTCAGCCCATCCTCCTGCTCTGACACATCCTGGGCTGCCTGGGGCACCCCACAGCCCTGCTGCTTTCTGTCTGCGTCCCTTGTGACAGTGACCTTTGTAACACAAGACCTGTGTTTCTCAGACCAGCAGGCCAGCACAGATGTCCCTTAAATAAGGAGTCCAGCCATCAGATCCAAGAGCAAGTGGCTCCGGTGTCTGTGGAGCAAGAGGTTACTGCTCTTTCCTTTTCTCAGTCGGATTCAGATCCCAGGGACACGGGTGCCAGCAGCCGTGCAGCTGGCCTTTCCCACTAACTTATCCCGTCAGCTCCCTCCACAACCACGCAGAGGCCAACGTCAGCACCTATGTTTTCCCAGAAGGAAAGGAAGGAGGGAGGCGGGGCCCGACCCAGAGGGACGGACTCTGCACCAGCACGGCTGGACTCCTCAGGCCGGCCAGCGGCTCAGGAGACATGGCTCCTCCGAGGGTTTTGAGAGCCCAGAAAAGTTACAAGACATGAACGTTTTATAAGACAAGAGTTTTGAATGTAGATGTTATCAGAACCCTAGCCTACCCCTCTCCTGCCACAGCCAATAATTAGAGGCTGTGATAGGATAAGAAATATATCTCAGGGCCGGCCAAGTGGCGCGTTGGTTAAGAGTTGGCTTGGGANGAGGAACAGGCCCCCCGCCCCCGAACTCCTCCTCCATCTCAACAGACGCACTGAGCTAACCAAGTCTTTACCATTGTGACAGCAAGTACCTGGAATGTCTTCCCCTTCTCTACCCACCTAGATCCCACCACCCTGGACCCAGCACAAGTACCACTTTTTCTAAGAAACTCCTGACCACACCCTCCCCCAGCTGCCAGATGGCTTCCCCAGCTCCTACCAGCCTTCCAGTTAATTGATTTATGCATTTGCAACCATTTATGTAAAAACCTAAACATGACCCAAAAAGCCCTAAAACGAGTCCATGTCTATGTACATAGACACACATGACAACACAGGTGGGACTGCAAGTCGGCCTGTGACATGACTGTGACATGGCCAAGGGGGGCACCTTTCACGTTTTGCTCTGTGGACACCTGTGTGTCAGTCATTGTTTGTTTTTTTAATTGTTTCCTGGGTGTAAAGCCCCACCCCCACCCCCCAGCAATGCTGTCTCAGCCCAGTTTCCTGGTGTGTAAAATGTGGGTGACAGTAGCTCCTGCCTCCGGAGATGCCCTGTGGATTAGCAGCTCACACACCGGAGGGGCCGTCCCTGGGCCCCGAGCCCAGCAGTTGGCGGCCCGGCACTCTCCCAGGTGCAGCACAAGCCCCACCCCTGCCAGCTTGGTTTAGGACACATCTTGACTTCAGGAGTCTGCTGGTTGGTGGACCTCTCCCTTGCCCCCCAGCCCTTGCCATAAGGAGACCAAGGATTCAGAAGAGACTGGACACCACTTCACACCCACTAGGATGGCCGTCATCCAGAGACAGACAATGACAAGTGTTAGGCTGTGGAGAAACTGGAACCCTCACACATGGCTGGTGGGAATGTAAATGGCGCAGCCGCTGAGGACAAGTTTGGTGGTTAAATACAGGATTGCCATGGGATCAGCAGTTCCACTCCTAGGAGTAGATGCAAAAGAACTGAAAGAGGACTTGAACTGATTCTTGTCCACCGTGTTCACAGCGGCATTATTCACAAATAGCCGAAAGGCGGGAACAACCTGCGTGTCCATCGATGGATGAACGGCGCATCCATAACAGGAATGAATTCTGACCCACGCTACCGCATGGATGAACCTTGAAAATATTATCTAAGAGAAATAAGCCAGACACAAAAGGCTACACACCGCACGAGTCCACTTACATGGGGTCTCTAGAGTAGTCCCGCTCAAGAGACAGAGAGGAGAACAGTGGGGGGTGGGGGGTGGGAGATAGGCAGTGAGTGTTTACTGGGTATGGAGTTTATTCTGAGGGTGATGGAAGGTTTGGGGAGGGTGATGGTGGCACAACCTCATGAATGTATTTAATGCCACTAAATTGTACATTTACGAATAGTTAAAAAATGATAAATACCATGCTATGTATATTTTACCACAAAAGAAAAAGAGGCTGACAGGCATACCACAGAGGGAGCGGGCAGACAGCTGAACTCACCAAACTGATCCTCCGATCCCTGTTGAGCGTCACACCTGGGAGGAAAGCGCAAAGACAGTGGCGTCAGCACCGTCTGGCAGGTGAGGTCCCCGCGGGGACCCTGGGCGTCTCCAACCGGGGCTCATTTCTTTTTTTTAAAGATCTTACTGGGGAATTAGAGGAGAGGAACAGCATTGGGGTATTGGGGAAAGGGAACAGACAAGTTGCTGTCCTTTTGTTCTTCAGTCTAGTTGTGGAAGACGTTGCTTCACTG